AAAAATGTGGCACATGGGAACATCAATAATACCTGTTGTAGTTGGAGCCCTAGGATTGGTTGGAAAACATAACAGTAGATTAATTGAAGGGTTCCTGGAAGCCCATGCCTCAAAGAAATACAAAAAATGTTCTCACAAGTACAGCCCACACTTTACAAAGGGCTTTATATTCGTAAAATATATTTTTTGTCAGTGGAAAATGTCATGATGCCATTTCTAACATTAGGTCTCTGGGCGGGACCAGGAACGAAATGTGTACACGCCAGAAATCAAAGAAACAACAACAACAATATTAAATAATAATAATAATAATAATAATAATAACAATAATAATAATAATAATAAAAATAATAATCCTGCTATTTAAATTACTTAAGCGGAATAAAGAACATTTTTCTCCATGAATAATAACGTGCTTGCGTTTTCCGACTAAGGACATATGTAATATCACAGACATCTCTTTCCTTTTAAAATGAAAATAGTAGTGTGACATGCGCAGTGCCAACTTCAGTTTTTAAGACGGTTGTGATTTCTTTTCCAGCGTACAGGGACTGTTGCAGAGATCATGTTTGATTTTTTAATGAATTCTGCCCGTTTGAGAGCGAGAGGGAGGGGGGAAGAGAGCGAGAGAGAGAGAGAGAGAGAGAGCAGAATCGTTTTAGGTAGCGTTTTCCACCCAAACATATAGGACACACGAAGAAATTGGAGATTTTAAAAATTTATTTCTATACATACATTAATACACCCACATACACACAGGTACGCAGACATGCCAGTCATCTCCACAAACGTACGTATATAAAAATACATACATACACACACACACACACACACACATATATATATAATATATATATATATTAAAAAATATATATATATATATAAACAGACATAATACATATATATATTAAAAGTATATATATATATATGTATATATATAAACAGACATAATACATATATATATTAAAAGTATATATATATATTAACAGACATAATATACATATATATATATATATATATATATATATATATATAAACAGACATAATACATATATATTTTAAAAGTATATATATATATATATATATATATATATAAATAGACATAATACATATATAAATATTAAAAGTATATATATATATATATATATATATATATATATATGTTGAAGCTTGGATAAGCATGGAATAATAATAATACCACACAAAATGTACGTAAACAAAATGTATTGAAACAAGGAAAAGGTACACAATATTTACAGTTAGTTTTGGTATATTCTTGGGAAGACTGTTCCTGTAGAATGGGTTGACTTAATCGCAGTCGGGCAGAGTCTCTTCCCTCGTCTTCCCGGTACCAACCCATATTTATATGGTCGGTACTTCACTATGTAAATTAGGTGGATCGTACCACAACAATATATATATATATATATATTAGATATGTAGACTCTAATTAGCCATTAAACGAAAGTATACAGACAAAAGTTAAGGCTTTGATCCGGGAAAAACGTAAACCAGGTACATTCACGTTGTCCCTAAATTACACAAACATCCCAAAGCAATCACCGACACAAATACCAATTTCTCAATAGAGAACATTAACAGAAAAGACTTGCATGAACGAACCTATGGAACCAAAAAGGATAATTCCAGAATTCCTGCTTTTTTGCGGTATTTTTTTTTTTTACAATATTCGCAAGCTTTTCCATACATAAATGATTTCCAGAATTTAAAACACGACCAAGCAATCGGAAAATATTCAGGGAAAATCCAGGGATGAATGAGCAGCTCTAAAAGAAGCCTGGCTGCCTGATGATTGTGTGCAAACATATTAAACTGGTAACAGTGGCCAGTCACTATTATATACACACGTCTGTACGAACAATATCTGGATAGAATTATATAAGAACCTATTCTCAGAAATTGTCTCTAAACAGTTTTGTATTTGCTACTAGTAAATAAGATAGATAGATAGATAGATAGATAGAAAAGGAATAATTGATAGATAGATAGATAGATAGAAAAGGAATAATTGATAGATAGATAGATAGATAGAAAGGAATAATTGATGCCTATAAAGAAAATGGTGATAAAAAAATAAAAAAAATTATATAGAAAATTACACATATATTTTTTGTTATTATCTCTCTCATATATAAATATATATATATGTGTGTGTGTGTGTGTGCATATGTATTCGTGTGTGTGTGCATATGTATGCGTGTGTGTGTGTTCCTCACAGCAACAAATGTATATTTATTTTAGGTATTATTTTTGTTCTCTTATTTTCATCGAGCACTGTTTAATTGTTACCCATAACTTCGTTATTCCTCCCAAAAAAAATCTTTAAATATACGAAAGAAAAAAATGCCGTAAGAATTTTAGCCGTTAACAATATAATTTTCCAAAAATGTAGACGACAGGTTTTTAACGGAAGTTAGATTTCATTGAAAAATACATCCCTTCCCACTACCCAAACGTAGCAATAACTGATACTTTAAAT